TGGAGGGGAACCAAGCTTCATAGGGTAGCTGGGACACTGAAGACGTGAGGAGAGATCTTACTTGATGAACACACTCAGCTGTTTTTTCCAGTATAGTTAGCATGTGTTCTAAGCCTGTTTTAATAAAGTAAATACATTATTTTCTGCTAAAAATTTTCTCCAATCTTTAAATCTTACATGCCTTTAACGAGACTAAGTTAATAGCATTGCATTTCTCAGTAGTGTGGCCATACAGAAGTGTATCATATTATTTTTGGATTACCATATACTCTGAACTATTTCACATTTTATTTATGACACCTCCAAAATGAAGTGCAGGGATCTGGCTGAGCAGGGTATACCAAACCAGAGGCTGAGAATCCAGCCCTCAAATTCTATATGACTTAACCTATGAAAAAAGCTATTAATATGTCAGTGAAGGAATAGAGACATAAAGTTGTATTAGCTACCTAATCTTCCAAAGAGTACTAAAATCAAAACAACTTATAGAATCATAGAATCACAAAATAGTTAGGGTTGGAAAAGACCTTAAGGTCATCTAGTTCCAACCCCCCTGCAGGTGACACTTCACACTAGACCATGTCACCCAAGGCTCTCTCCAACCTGGCCTTAAACACTGCCAGGGGTAGAGCATTTACGACTTTCCTGGCAACCTGTTCCAGTGCCTCAGCACCCTCACAGTAAGTAACTTCCTTATATCCAACCTGAACTTCCTGTTTTAGTTTGAACCCATTACCTCCTTGTCCTACCACTACAGTCCCTGATAAAGAGTCCTTCTCCAGCATTCTTATAGGCCCCCTTCAGATTTTGGAACACAGCCTTTTCTATGGGGTTACCACACAGCTTCTCTTCTCTAGGCTGAACAGCCCCAACTTTCTCAGCCTGTCTTCATATGCGAGGTGCTCCAGCCCCCTGACCATCCTTGTGGCCCTCCTCTGGACTTGCTTCTACAGTTCCATGTCCTTATGTTGAGGGCACTAGAACTGCACAAAGTACTCCCACTGAGAGCAGAGTGGTAGGATCACCTCCTTCAACTTGCCAAGTAACCCACTTAATCATGGGTATAGTTCATGGGTGTAGTGATTTCACTAGAAACATTAATTTTACATAAAACTGTCAACTTAAATTGCTCTGTAAAATAATTGCATAAAATTGTCTCTTCCTTGTCTTCATGGTTTTACCTACAGAACAGCTTTAAATACTGACACTGCAAATCTGCCTCTAAGATTGTTTTGCTCCAGGTGAAATGGTAAATTACTCATTTGTTTATTGACAAAAATTGGTTTAATTAAAATTGATTTAAAGTTAAACACAAACTTCTTTGTGTACACATACAAATTGATTTACAACTAGCTCAAAAAAAAACTTCACAGAATTTAGTACATAAGAGCTGATTGCAAACTAGTTTAAACATGTTCACAAGGCAGCTTGCAATGGTATGACTGGGGTAAACTTTTTACAGTTCTTCTTAAATTAGTGGAATTTCTGCACGCACATCCAAGTCATCATCCAGATCATGGCAACAGGTAAGCCATGCCACATCTAATTGAAGGCACAACATTAAAAATGACTTCGTTGTTGCTGATGTTGTTCTATTGTTGTTACTGAGGTAGAAGCAGTGAAGGATCTCTCTTTCTAGCCTTTGCGTGCACACACAATGAAAAGATAGCATTATGCCATGAAGAACTCAGAGCTAGCATCTGCTTTGCAGAATTTAACTTGCCCTAAATTTTTCTAAGAGCAAAACTTTTTATTTGTATCCTTAAAAAATGCTAACTTAAAACTGCAAAATTAAATAGTTAAAATTTCACTGAAAAACAGTGAGAAGTGACTATTTTCCATGACAAAAATGTGATTCCACTCTCTGACTACCTCTAATAACAATAAGCTAAAATATTTTTCACCAGCTTTGCTTTAGTTAATGTGTCATGGGCTGGCCATTGACATACCTTGAAAAGCAAATATATTATTGGATGACTTCTTGAAATACACCCAGGAGTCTTTTATACTCCCAACAATTCTGTGGGAACTTCACCACTGACTTGAAGAGTTGAGATTTAGCCTATTCTGAACAAGTCTAAAAATTCTCAGTACAACAAACGGATTGACATGGAACACTTGAGCATAGTACGTCACAAGGCTTTTTAGGTATCTGAAAGACAAAGCTTTACCAGATAAATACCCTGAAGAATATCTGCCAGAAACCCACTATTGTAAAAATCTTCCCTAATAAATCTTTGGCACAGTAAGTATAATACTACGCCTAAGACATGAAACTTGTATTCACAATGACATTAATGTATATATTTATATACATTCATATGTACTCCCTCATTCCTGAAAGAAAAATCTACGTGCATTTTTAAGCTTCTGCTGATATGTAAGTATTCCCTGAATTGAACCCTTTATTTATTTAAGGTGGCACTACCAGTGTGAAAATACAATGGTTCTAGCTCTTGTCATTCTGATCCTTTCGATTATTTTGCTTTCCAACAGTTTCTTCAGGAAAGGGAAAATGAGCAGGGGTACTTACCTGGAAAATACAGGCAAAGACAAGGACATCATTAGCACAACACTGGCACAAATCTAGAATGGAGGAAACTAGACAGATTGACATTCTTTATAACAGCACTTTGACAGTGGACTAACTCTATGGGAAGGATTGGGTCCTGACTGCTCCATGACAAGCACTGGGGTTTATGTCCCAGTTTTGTGAACGGTTTGGCAGGGGGTCTGAACTCTTGACCAGAGGGTGTTGTTCCATAATATTACTGAAATTATGTCTATGGAGCAAGGACAGGAAAAAGCATTTGAGGACATGGGGAGGTGACCATTTAACAACATTAGAAAGGGATTTGAAAGAAGCCAGTTACAAAGACCTAGAAATAAGGAATCTTAGAGAGGAAGAGAGAATAAAGAACTAGGCATTGAGAAAATAAAATAATAAAAAACATCTTAGGATACCTGAAGTCAAATTACAGGGATCTAGTTGTATCCACAGGGGGAAAAATGTGGGGTTTGTATCACCCCAGAGATACCATGGCACACACCAGTGACAGCAGAATACAAGAATGCTAATGTAAACAGGCAGAGAAAATCAGGGGAGGATGATTCATACTGTATTGAATCCAGGAAGAGACGAGATACTGTTCTTGGTGAAAATTAACAGGAGGAAGTAAAAGTATGCCATGATTGGGGTCTATTTTATGTAACATACCATAGCTGTATTCAAAAGGAGGAAGTAAATTTTTCTGACTTATTCTGAGCATAAAGGTATTTGTATTCAAAAATCTTGCCCATAAGACAATAGTGAATTTCAACTACTTAAGTACCAGTTAGAAAAATGATATGGCAGGACATAAAAGGTCCATCAAATACTTGTAGTATTTAAAGGATGATCTTTTGCTTCACAGGACAGAGGAAGTTATGAGAGGCATTACCAAGTTGAATTGCATGACCAGTAGGGAGGAGCTCATTTTGATTTTAAAGGCAGAAGGTAAACTGGGTGAAAGTGATCATGACACATTTAACCAAAATAGGCTTCTCTACTCTAAGAGGAAGAAAAAGCACGCCTGCACTGCCAAATATGGATTGCATTGTTATGTAGAACTAGTTAAGCTAGCTTTAATGAAGCTAGTCTAGGTACTAAAAGCAGGCTCATCATAACAGCATGCCATTTTGTACGAGTTAATTAACCTCCTTTCTGATTTAGGCCTGAGCTCATTTAAAGCTAACCTAGATTTTCTGCAGAGAACAACAGACTCATTTTTAATTAAACGTACAATACCAAGCTATAGAGATGTGAACAAAAGGAAGCCGGGAAGCGTAAGTAGACTGTGCTAACATCACGTTAAGAGCTCTTCAAGGATTTGCAAAGAAGAAGTCACAATAAGGGGACATAACTGAAAAGTAACATAAAAGAGTATGCAAAAAAGAGTAAAATCATAAAGCCTACAGTACAGAATGAGTGATAGGTAAAAAAGGGTATAAAGGTCAACAAGAAAATGCTCTGGAAATAGATTAGAAGTGCCTAAAGACTTAGTTAAATTTATCTTACCACAGAATTTACAGAAGGAATGAGTTAAAAGCTATCTAAACTGTATACATTCAGGTTAATAGGGCCTAAGAAATTTACTTAATAATATAGCAAAAATTATCTCTGAGTTGCTAAAGGACTTATATGGGTTCAAGGAGACTAGGAAAAGACAGAGTATGTCTAAGGAAAGTAGATCCAAAGGTACAGATTAATTTTTATCTTGATGGATATTCTAGAAGAAATTCCATGATGAAGAAGATAGTGTAAGTTTGCTCAGAACAGATGCTCTCACACTAGTCTAATTCCCTTTTTTACAATCAATTTTAGTGATTCAGCAGAAAAGAGAAACAGTTAAGTATCATAGATCTTGAGTTTAATATAACTTACACAGTCTCATGACAATTCTGTTAAAACAAAAAGCATGGAAATGTAGTTTTCATTAAACCACTAACAATTGCCATGCTGCTTGCAGAAATCAAACCTGGAGAGCATTTGCAGTGAGAACTCATATGGTTCTGTTAGTCATTTCAGTTCTATTCACTATTTCCATTAGTGATCTGTAAGAGGCAACAGAATACTGATGTATGTATATAACAAAAAAAAATCTGGTTTTCACCAACCTAAGAGCTAGAAGACAGAATCAAAATTCAAAACCAATTTCATAACTTGGATAAATGTCTAAACTTGGGATGAAATCAAGGCTAAGGCAAAAATATTATACCTGAGAACTTAAACAGATGACATAAATTGTGGAGAACTAGGTGGCAGTATGTTAGAAAAAGTTCTGAGAATAAGTTTCTGTCATAGGAAGAAAAGCAAGTTATTTCCGGGATGCATTTATAGGTGTTCCTCTCATGTGCAATACATGGGACATAACTACTGCACTCTAGTTGGTGCAGTAATTATGGACTGCTATAAGGGGCCTTGAGATAAAAACAAAAGTCATACTGAAAAGAAGCCAGAGTAAAGCTGTTAGAATAAATCATTTATTATGAGTGCAGTCTATGAGGAAAGTGAACACAATTGTTTAGTTTAGGAAAAGATGATATGCACATCTGCGCATATAAATAATTGTATATATATATATTTACACACACATTTATTAAAACATATGCGAACAGCTTAACAAATAGGGTCAATTTCCACTGACAGTGTTGCAAGGAACAGAGCAAACAAAATTCAGGTTGGATATAGGACACGTACATATTCATAAATGTTGTTAGACATTTGTACAAGCTGCATGCAAGTGTTGCAGCTTTCTTTCAAATCAGTGCTTTTACAAATCAATTAAGACAAATGGCTCTTGAGGATATCACTGTTTTCCAAACTGATCTCTCAACTCCTTAGATTCTGTGAACTACTCCTAAGAGATCCCTGGAAGACAATCAGCAAAACTCTTGTTAGTAAATACAACACTTCTCAAATTCACGTTTATGGATCCACAAATGCAAGTGTTCAGTTACACTTATCAACATACACAACTCAGCCTTAGCACAGAGATTACATTAGGCAATCACTTGAGGCCTACAAACCTGTACTTCTTTTTATTCCTATGTGGAAAATTGCACTTCCTCTGTGAATAATTTTTATTTATAAAATGCAAATAGCAGTATTTTTCTACCTCACAAGAAAATACAACCAGTAAACACATTATAAATCGTTCGAATACAACAGCAGCGATACAAACTGATGGATTTTATTTACCTCAGCCTCCCTCAGAGGTTTTAAAACCCTGGCAGAACTTCACCTCTGCCACACACATTATGGGCTGAGGGAATCTCACCGAAATAGCATTATATTTACAATTTTTATTCAAACGCAATAAAAACGCAGTAAGGGCGTCTTCCGCGATGCACTGAAGAGTGCACTTTCCTCCGTGAGCACACGAGGCCGACTCTCGGAAGGGGCATTACTCTCCGAGCCCCCCGCAGGGCCGCATTTCCACGCTCAGCCTCCGCTGCCATGAGCCGCGGACACGGGTGGCATCTCCATGCCAGCCACAGTAAAAATAAACCGACAGAAGCCTTAAGGAAAGCGATGCATGGAGGGAGTGTGGTTGGGCAGCCGCGTTCCCGTGGGAGGTGGGTCCCCCCGCCAAGACCCGCTGAGGCACCTTGGCAGCCCGGGCCCTTCCCCGGCCTCTCCCGGAGGCCCCGAAGGGCCGCAGAAACACCGCAGCCCGAGCGAGGGCGCAGAGCCCTCGGCGCCGACTGGCTTCCCTTCCCCAGCAGCTTGTGCCACCTTCCCCCGCTTCATATAAACGGGGCGGGCGCCCCCGGCCGGGCCCGCTGGACCGGCTGCCTGCCTGCGGCCGCGGGCCGCCCGATCTCCCCGCCTCCCTGAAGCGAGGCGCGGCCCGGCCTGGCTCGGCCCAGCCTGGCCTGGCCTACTGTGGAAGCTGTACCTCGGCCGCGCGGCTCCATGGCTTTCATCCGCAAGCGGCGGCTGGAGCGGGAGCTCTACTCCAAGCAGAGGTGAGCTGCCCTGACCCCCGCTCGGCCTTGGCCTCGCGGCAGGCGGTGGGGACGCCGCCGTCTCTCTCACCGGTTAGGGAGACCCGGGGGGCGGGGGCCCGGCGGGGCTGCCACCAGAGGGTCTGCTGGCCGCGGCGCAGCGCCGGGACGGAGGGCAGCGGCGGCACGGCGTGTTGCTGACGGTGTTGTTACTGTTCGAACCGGCTGGCTAATGATTCCCGAGAGTTAAGGCTCGGATAGGCCGTAGAATAGACCTGAGGAAATACGAATGCTGGTCGCCTTTCATAAATCGCATGAAAATAGCGTTTGTAGGTTTCTGTTTATTTGTTTATTGTCAGTTGTGTTCGTGGCATGGATTTGGAGCTCTGCTTTACTACGGGTGTAGGTTATTTTATTTTTTTTTTTTCCCCTGGAACATTATAATAGCGTATCGTTAGCCCTTAAATTACAGACTCTGTGCTGGCTCTTTAAGGTGTTAAATTCAATAGTCCATTCCTGCTTTCTGACTCTAATCTGTATTTTACGCTCCTGTGGCTAGCTGAACATACAAGAAAGGCTTCTCATGCGTGCCGTAGAATATCCTGAATCGACTCTCTTATTTTTAGGTAGTGTCCAGCTTTCTTTGATGTGGCTTATCTAGATATGGTTTGTCATGAAGTTTCAAAACCCTTTCCTATGATAGTATTGCCATGTTGGGAAATCTCTGAGGTGAGAGTGATAGGTCAGCCTGGGTCAAGCAGTGGAGGGACACGGGTGTCTTTTCTGGAAGGACCAAGACTCCCCAGCTGGCTCCATTGCAGGTACCAGGAAGCCAGCAGGCACAGGACAAGAGAGACTTGTTCCTGTACAAGCCCTGTGCAAATTCCTGCTGCAGGTTTGCTGGTCACACAGTACTGTTTATTGTTGGTGAGAAAAGCACATGACAAAGAGCTTGGCTCACTTTGTCAATATAATTTCTGATTCATAGCTATTCAGCCCGCGAAGCTACTGTAACTCTTGAAGTATTTTTGGAGTACAGACATTGGCGAGCTGCTGTGGTTTCAGTTGTGTATGAAGGGCTGCATGGAGAATGGACAGACTTCCTGTGCAGAAAGAGAACAGAACAGTTTTTAATTTTGAAATACAAAAAACATACAGAAAGTGAGAATGACTTTACTAGCTGTGTTAAGGATTTAATGTAAACAGTCTCCTTTTTTATTGAGAAGCTGAGAAAAAGCCAAAACTCATCAGACTTGTCACAAAGAACTCAAGTGGGAACTAAGTCTTTTCTAAAAAGCCCTGAAAACAACCCCAACATATCAATGTGTGTCAGCATTACTGATATGCAGTTATTGAAGGTCTCTAATGAGAAATGTTTTTCTTTGCTCGTAGTTGGAAGCATTTTAGGATAATCTTATTTGAGTTTGTAATATGAGCACTTTGTGAAAGTCTTAGTTCTCATTTGCACTGGTAGCCTTTTTCTATCTAAATATCTGCAGTGTTTCTTCCACTTGCCGAACAATATCTATGTGTAAAATAAAAGTAATTTGCTATATATTTTGTACCTTATATGAGGTATTTCACCATCCTTGTCTTCCTATGCTTTTCTGAATTGGGTTATCTTGAAAACAAGTGATTTAAAAAATTTGGGGCTCTGAAGTAGCAAATGAGAAGTACCAAATTTTGTCTCCTGTTTTCCTCACAGTTCTGCTTAAAACAACAGAAAAAACCAAACAAACAAACAAACAAAAAAAAACAACACCCCAGCTCTTTATCACTTAGTTGGATGGGTAGCTTCAGAGAGCTTTTCTTTTTGCTTACTGGGTAACTGTTACAGACACCAACTCCTGCTTCATAGCTTCTCATGATTTATGTAACCTTGGTGTAGGTACTTCCTAGTGAGATGACAAAGACCTTTTGAAACTTTATGGCAACTTCATTTCTGGTGTGGCTGGTTGGTTGGTCTGTTGCTGCTACTACAAAAATACAAGCTGTAAAAGTTCTGGTTAAGAGTACCATGAAACTTAGTAGGCAAAAGGTTAATCATCTTATGCACTTGCTTTGGGGGGAAGCAAGATCAGATTGGTTTTAAGTGATCTGAAAAAATTACTTCCTCTTAACTAATTAGTTGAACTGCATTAATACCTGGTTATATAAACCTGCTTTTCTGACTGTGAGCAGTTTTATAGAAGAAAACAAGAAACTACTGAAATCTCCTGTGTGTGCACACTGAGAACAAGGAACAGGTTTTACTTTACATTTGATTAAATAAATCCATGTTTCTACTGAGCACAGTTTATTCTGGCAGGAATTTTCCCTTCAAATTCATCCATAGCATGTATCTATTTCATCTGTGTTTATCGCTGGGTTTGCCCAGGTGTTCAGAGTGAAGAAAGCTAAAGATATGTCCTTTTGTGTAAGTGGTGTGTGCGCATTTACCCAATTCATTTAATACTTAAAATATTTAGCATTCATTAACAGGAATCCTTTTTTACAAGTAATTGTAATTGCAAAACTTGAAATAGAATGGTGTGGTGTTTGGCTCAGGAGGTTGTTGCTCTCTTTATAACTGAGTTCTCAGTTCTGTTGGTTTGCCCAAACATGGCATTGATACAGAGACTCTATAACAGTTGTGCTGTTTTGTCTTGCATGTTGATTGGCTTCCTGTTTGAGGCGTTTATCTGTTCTGCCAGGAACATCACTCACACGAAGCAACCAACTGGCAGCACATGTAGGCCCTTGGATGGATCTTTTACATGATGGTTGCTTCAGCATTTGGGTATTTTTTTGGAAATCTGTGCCCTTATCTTAATCTCACATAATGAATACACATAATGAAGGCTTTTATTCATATGTCAGCAAACGAGTCCTACAGCTTGTCTATAGATACTTTGCTTTCATTAAGAAGAAGTTTAATTTGAGAATTGGTTTTATACGGCTGTGGGCTGCTGCTGAATTGGGCTAGCATGCTTTTCGTCCTTAGCAATGTCCTTCCATTATCAGGATTGTGCTTCACATATCATGTCAAGTGATTGTTCAAGGTGTGTTGGATCAGTCACTTGACAACTTGTGTCCAAGTACATTTCCAGCAGGCACTTTCCTAAAGTGATGGAAATTGTAAGAATTCAAAGCAGGATCTGTGGGGTACCTTCTCTGGGTGGTATAAACATGATTTTGCCAAAAGACTGGTTAATGCACATTCATTCCTGTGTCTGATTTGAAGAAGTCCAGTGATTCAATTGCTGAGTGACACTGGTATATCAAATGTGGGTTTCTTGGAGGTTTTATTTTGTTGTTTTATGTCCCTTCCACCATGTTGTTGGATCTTAGATGAGATCTTTTCAAACTGGAGTATAGATGGACAGGCACATCAAGCAAAGTAACAGTAAAATTCTCAAGTAGACCAAGCCCGATACAATTAACTCTTCATTTGGAGGATATTTTTATGGCATCTTGGCAGGACTTGTAAACCCCAGGGTGTAGTTTGTAAAGTGTGATTCTCTTTGTTGCATACTCTAAACAATGCTAGGAATGTTTGGGTACCATTTGGATTTCCAAACCTTGTGTGTAGGGGATGACATCATAGGAGGTGATTTTGCAGATGTTTTTCTGCTACTTAGTGTTGTGCCTGGTTTTCCTGAATGTCTTGGGTGTGTTCTTGACTTGTATTCATCAGCTCTTTTCTAAGTGGCAATTATATGGGAGCTTTTTGAAAAAGGCAAAAATAAACAATTTTCATCTCTGTATTTAGAAGACAGCAACCAGAGTTCTTCAGTGCTTTGTTCATTTACCAGCCTTTCCCCCGTCACTCTTATCTTTCTGCTGCTGTATATTATGTTCTTTTATTTTCTTGGCAAGGTACGTGGCTCCTTTCTTTTTTTTTCTTTTTTTTTTGTCTTCCCCTGAAGCTGCTTCTCAAACCAGTACCAATTCACTTCACAAGAAAATAGCTTCCATACCACTTCCATATAAATTTTTCAGATCTCCTTAGTATAATTTTTCTGGGACAGTACATACAGGAATCTGAAATTAGTCTTTAAGCAAAAATATGTTAGCATGCTTTAATTTACCTCTCCCCTTAAGTGTAGGTGCTTGCTTACCTCTTGAGCTCAAACAGCTCTGTCATACACTGTTAAAGGATTAATTAACTGTACTCCACCAGGTTCTGTATACATCTAACACTGGGTGGGAATTGAAGGTGTTTCAACATAAAATCTGTTAAAGCCTTCATTAAAATTATCCGGAGGAGGGTGTGGAGGTCTGTGTGACAACATTATACTGATTATCCACTGCCTTCCCTCCTGTCTCCCCCAGCATACATCCCTAGACAGACAGACACAACAGTGACTGAACAGTCTTCCTTATGTTTCAGGCTTGGGAAGCTCCTTATGTTCTTTAAAGTTGTTTGCTGTGTGAATTGTTATAATAGAAAATGTTCCCTTACCTAGCATGTTGAACTGTATTGGTGGGAGAAAGTAAGGAGTTACTGTGAAGGTGGTGAGGCACTGGAACAGGTTGCCCAAGGAAGCTGTGAATCCTCTGTTCAAGGCCTGGACACTCTGGACGGAGTCTTGAGTGACACGGTGTAGTGTGTGGTGATCCTGCCTGTGGCAGGGGCATTGGAACTAGATAATTTTAAGGTCCTTTCCAACCCTAACTATTCTGTGATTCTGTGTTTTCCCCCCACACCACCCCGAAGCTGCTGCTGCTGCTGTTGATTTTGAATACAGGGTTTGAATTACACCTGAGATATAACAGCCTAAATTCCCTTCCACTCACTGTAAAGGTCAAGGTTTTGCCCTAGTGGCAGGGGTGATTACCGATTCATTTCATCCTGGAAAGTGAAACTGCCTCTTTCTGTGTCTCTGACAGCAGAGCCGGCCACCTTGTTCTTGTGTCTGACCCCCTCCTGTTGTACCGTCGCTGGTACTTCGTGTTCCCTTCCATAGACTGATTGAGGTTACTAAATCTGTGCAGAACTGTTCTGGGTGGAACTCCACTGCTCTGAGAAGAAGCTTGTGTTCTATTTGCTAATGTGGTAGGTTTTCCAGTCAGAAGTGGATGGGCTCCTC